TTTGCTGGATTTTTGTGTACGCGAACAGCAAAACTTATATCTCACAAATTCGCGATCAGTATCACACGGGGCAACACCCGATTAGTTTGACAGCACTTGCAAGTGGAATGACATTAAAGAATATACAAATTTACTCATGATACAAAAAATACAAGGTAGTTTTATTTAAAATTTTTTTGATTAAAAAGCATATTATTGACATTCTCCCTGATGTCAACATTTAGCATAGCGTTGCCACATCGGAAATTCATAAAATGGTGGATTTCATAAATGCTAAATGAAGAGGCTCAACCAAAACTTAGTAGTGAAAATGCTTTGTTTTAAAAATTAATTCAAATATTTGGCTTAACTCATTGATAGGATATCTTTTAGGAAAAAGTTTAAGAAATAAAATACTTTTGTTGGAATTTCTCCATTTTAAATATTTTATATATATTTTAAGATAAGTTTCAAGTTGTTATGTCTTGTATTCGGGCATTGATTAAATAAATAGCTAATTTTTTTCTTTTTATTTTTTTTTTTTTAATACAAACGAAATTTTTACGCAGTTTATTGTATTTTTTTTTTGTATCATGGGTGGTAACACGGAATGTCATTATCTGCTTAATTGTCAGGTAGTTAATATGGCGACGAAAACGTGACAATGAAACCATCTTCTTTTTTTATCATGAATTTACCTAAGAAACTATGCTTAAGTATGGTGAAATTTTGTGTAAAGGAGAACCGCTACATAAGTTGAGTTCTCGTATTCTCCAGCAAAAATATCCAGTTACTTGCCAGTAACCAAATTTCGGAGAGTAAGCCCATATTTACTTCCAATGGAGAGAAATATTCAAGATTCAATTGATTGAGTTCGAGTTTTATGTATTTGCGGGCACTCTAGCTTAACAAATAAAAATTACAACAGTCTACAATTTAAAGGCCAATAAACAAAAACAAACATATTTTTAAATTATTACAAAGTTTTAAACTTAGATTTATTTGGTTATTGTTATAGAATCAAGTATATTTTTATAAAAAATATGAAATATAGATTTAAAAAAAACTAAAAAGTCGAAACATGTCAATATGTGGATGTCATATAGTTATGATAAGCACTATAGTACTAAACTGACTATTTTTAGGGGAGTCACATATTAAAAGGCTACTTCGCGTCTTTTTAGCGATAAATAGACCATCCAACAACGCTTAAGGCAAAACAGACTGAAACCTAATTAAAAACTTGTTTCATAATCTGACTTCTAGAGGGGAATGGGCGTCGGGACTGAGATGCTAACCGATTTGGGCGTGGTTGTTGTTGGGCATTCAGCTATTGGGGTATTCACAACGGTGTCGTAAGTGTCGTATTGTTGTATGCCGTAAACTTTAAACGCCTAAAAATATATATTTTCCCAGTGTTAAAAATAGTTGGTTGTGGTTTCAAGTTCTCTAAACATTTATTTAGGCAAACATACAATAATACGACACTTACGACACCATTGTGAATCCCTCATATGTATATGGACTTTTACTACTCGGCATCTTAATATTAGCGGTATTCAGGCATTGATGCGAAATGCAATTGCAACGGTGCGAAATGTGAAAATGCAGAATTTTATCAACAATTAACTCCCGAAAATCTAGCATCAGTTATTGCATTTGCTTATGATTGGCAAAGAGTGAAATGCAATGATTAATGCGAGCTTTTCGGATGTGTTGCTTTTGATAAAATTTCGCAATTTCGCTTTTCGCACCGGTGCAATGCATTTAGCATCAACACCTAAATACCCCTAATCTGCTTTTAAATCATACACCTGGTCGAGCAGTGACAAATTATTCTATATGAATCCTGCAATTGTTGAGTGGCTAGACCGACTTTGACCTTGCTGCGAGGCGTATGGGATTCAAAATTCTACAATTTGTAGTCATTTAATGATACAATAAAATAAAATAATATTTATATTGGCCAAGATGGAGTTAGAACTACATACATAGATGCATAGTAACGTCTGCGATAAAAGATGTGTGGAATTAAACATTAAAAATTTTGTTCCAGTTTGCTACTTCCTGCCGATTGGCGTCGCTTTAAGGCAAAAGAAAAAATATTTCCTAACATTTTGGATGTCTAATACATTGAGGCTAGTAAAATGTCAGTAATTATAGAAGTGAAAAAAATGTAAGACCTAAATAAATGTCGTAAAAATCAACTTGTAGCGGTGTAGGGAAGTTTCTGATAAGAACCGTACCAAAAATGATAAATTAATGAGCATTTGTGTACTAGTGTGAATGTGTGTAACCACGACTAATACTTACAAACTTACTTAGAACGAAAGCGTGTTAAACAAGAAAAAAGTAATCAAACGAAAGTGAGAAACTGTGTACTGTTGTAGGCCACCATGGTGTTCACACAATAGGGAACGTAATAAGAATGTTTTGGCAAAATATTTATATACTTTTTAACTAAACTCATTGATAGGGTCCCCGACATCTCCGAAGTAGAGATGCAGTTTTTCTAACCAATTAAATCGAAGATCGATTTATGGAGCCCTTCCGACCCGATTTTTCGTCGATTTTTTAATTTCGATTCGAACCGCGTATAGATACAAAAAAATACGAGTATCGACATTCGATGTTTTCTCAATTGCATTAGAAAATCTAGAAAATTTTAAGAAAATTTGAATTTAAGCCTGGTACAAAAAAAATTAAGTTAGCCTTTTGAATATAGGGAAAAAACATTGATTTCGCTGATAAAATGCCATGAAATTTTAAAAATACACCAACTAAATAGTATTTTTTTGCTCGAAACTGGTTAGGCATTAGATCAATTTCAATTTATTTTGTTATCGTATTTGGCAAGATATATGAATCGATTGTAAGAGATCGATTTATTTTTTGACGATTTCTTCATGCATCGATTATTTTCATTTCGATTCGAATCGATTCAAAAATCGATTTCATTTATTTCGATCTGGCATCTCTACTCCGAAGTCGATTAAGAATTTTCAGTTCAAACATTTTTTTTTAGTTCCATTCGTAATGTTTCTCATTCCTTATTTTATGCCGCAAATATATTTATTGTCAACTCCGAAATGATGCCGTTTATTTTTTCCAGCTTCGCTATAGATATTCTATAATGTTAAAGTCTCGTGACTGAATAGTCCAATGCTGTGCCACTGTGCACGCTAGGCGTTTCTCTTATGTGCCAACTGACGTCCATTGGAAATGCCAAGTGAAGCCAAGTCCTCCTCCACAAGAAGGATTTTTCGTACGGTTCACACGCTATCATCTCTACTAACGCACCTCACCGTTTCTTAGCGGTAGATATTCTGTCTGACGTTATTAAACGCCTAATTTTTCGTTCTTCTCTCTCGGATATTTTCATTGAAATCTACATGTTAGTAGTTAGTGCCTCGAATAATACGGCTTCAAAGCCCCGTCCAAGCTTTTTCAGTAATATTTTTTATATTTCAAAACGCTTCTCATGGTATTTTAATTTTTGATATAATTTTCTTTTGATTTATAGATTTTATTGCTTTTAAAAGAAAACAATTTTTTTTAATTAAATTTTTGTAAACTGTTTGCTAAAAGACAAACAAGACCAATAACAGGCCAAATCTGGCATCTATCTTTAAACTCACCTGAGTTTTTCGTCTCAGTATATATATTTCGACAACTATCTTGGAAGCTCTTTTCTGTATTTCGAATGAGTAATTGAAAGATGTGCTAATAATTTTATTATATTTATCGTTTAGTAATAAGTTTTCTAAAAACTAAACGAAATGAAAAAAAAATATATTTTTTTTAAACAGGAAAAATTAAAAATTTGAGATGCTGAAGTAGAAGAAACAAGATGAATCAAACAAGTTTCCAAACGTTAAATAAAAAATATGATTTTTTTAAGCAATAAAACTTATAAAAAAAATTGTATTAAAAAAAATTCTTTGCCGAGGAGTGAACTCGGATCTCTTACTTAACTTTAATGTTCATTAAATACCGTTAACGAATCATTAACTGACTCTGAGAGCGAATTTTTCAAATCGTTACTGAGGGACACCTCAACAATACCTTTTATTGATATCCATATTGCGATGTCTTAGATAAATAGTGTAGAATCAAAAAGAAGTGGCAACCTTACACTATTATCCTAGGGGATTACATTTCGTATATAAATTGAGAAAGCATTGTTTAAGGACCTTCTCTTGGTACCCATGAATAGTAATATTTCACCTATTTTTCAAAACAAAAAATTAAATAAATATGCGGAATATCCAAAGCTCCAAGCCGCTTTCGAGAACACTATGGATATATATATATATGTATATATGTATATACAAGAATAGCTCATTTAATATCATAAATAAATCCCGTCTTTTGAAAGATAATCTACAGAGAATTGGTAGAAATGAGGACCAACAAGAAGAATTGGTAGAAATGAGGACAAACAAGAAGAAACTTAAAGTACTTACAAAGCTGCAAACAAAAACAAGATGTGTCGACGTTGAATGTTAGCGTATTTAAAAACTATCAAATACGTATAAACATATGCACACATTACTTCGCCACCATTGCAAACGTAATAGTGATAGCCCAGAGTACCTAGTCGCCTATGAAGCTTCGTCACTGGCATCACAATTTGAAATGTGAAAAGTAGATAAAAAGAGAAAACTTGAAACTAAAAACTAAAAACTAAAAAGAAGAACGTGTTCTTAACACCATACAAGTGAAGCATTGACAGCGACTTAGTAAACGCCATTGCAAGGGGTGTGTTCAGAAATGCATCAAGCCAAAGCATAAGGTGCATTTATTTCTAAACTTTAATTGATGGAAAGAGGCTGTTGTTGCCTTGGCTTGATGCATTTCTGAACGCACACGAGGTTTTCATACGATTCCACGGAAATGTTACCAACAATGCTGACGAAGTCATCGCATTTACTTTTAGCAATCAATTAGTTACCTGCAGTTGTTTAAAACCTTAAAGTGTTAAGAATATGACCGAATATTGCATCTACAAAGGCACCTACCTCTTTGTCTTTTAAGCCCAACAGCAACACTTCCTCCATGAGTGTTAGACGTGTCTGTTTGGAATCGCCATCATCGATGTTGTCCTCCTGATCTTTATTGCTGTTATTTAAATCGCTGTCGTCATCTGGTGTATTAGCATTCTGGCCGTATGCGCCACCTTCAGCGCCATTGTCTCGTGTTTTCACGGCGCGTCGCACCAAACCATCACTTCGATTCATTTTTTATTAAATTGTTATTTATTGCACTCACTTACTGTGTGTTATGTTTAATTTAAAACTCTTTAATTAATCCTATTCTTATATTAATCTAATTCCGAGAAAAATACGCAAATTTTTTTTATTGCTATATCCGTAATTAATTGCTGAAGTGGCGCTCCGCTACGTTTTGCTTTACACCTTTTGTTTGTTGCTGTTTTTACACTGTGCCTTCGTTTGCTTTGCTGTTTCCGTGTCACTGAAGAGCTTAATTTCTTTGCTCTTTTTTTTACATATTTTTTGCAGTATTATGCATTTATTTATTCAAACTGATAACTTTGTTCGGAAACACTAGAAAAAATTAAATTTCACTAGCTTATTCACGATATTCCCTAGGCAATGGAGGAAAAAATATTTTCCTTGTAAATCTTTTCCTCCTCTATGCTGACATTTCGTTCCACGACAGAAAACCTTTGGCAGTCAGTAATGCCAACTCTCAAATAATCAACTGTCATTAAAAAGCTGTGCCGATTGTAATATAACAACGGCTTCATTTTATATTTCTGCGGTAGCAATGAACGTAATCCGTTACGTTTTATTTTTATGATCTACACAACAAGCTTTTCAGTCGTTCCGCGCTTTTCAGGCTTTCAGCAATAGCTGAATTGTGTAGCTGAAAGCCTGCAAAGCGCCAAACGCCTGAAACGTTGGTGTGGAGTTGTACTCTTAAGGCCCGTCCACATACAACTTTGGCGTTGCGTTGGCGCATGCGTCGTCACCATGGTCGTCACCCAAGAGAGATTTTTTTATAAATTTACCTTCTTTGGATTCAGATATGTAGGCACTTGCTAATTTTACTAGTTATATAACATAAATACATATAAAATCATTTTTTAGAACTGATGTGTTGATTACGGGCACGAAAAGTGGATTTTAGCGTTCCTCACGCTCTGAGCACTTTTGGCACGGGTTGACACCTTTTTGACACTTGTTGGAGAGTAACTTATTTTTACGCTCTAATTACCGAAACAGCCCGGAAAGTGTGTGGCTTCTGGGCTGTTTTGAGCACCCGCGGGTAACCGTGGGCTCGTGTGGAACAAACCTAATTAATCGCCGCCAGCTGTCGCCACGAGCTCATTGTTGTGAAGTTTGACAAGCAGTTTTTCAAATTAAATTCTAAGCGGTGCTTTTGTAATTGAGTTTTTCTTATTAGTTGTATTATTTATAGAAAAATTTAATATAAATTCTTTGGAAATGTATCTAATTTCAACGGGGAAGACAACTGTACTCTCTGACTTCAGTAATTTAGAAACAAAATCAATTTACCAGCACGCAAATGGCGAAACCACCGATTTTCAATTCTATGCACGGCAACGCATCTTCCTGGAAGTGAACAAAAAGTCTGGCTTGGAAATAATGCGGATCAAAGATAAAGGAGATCACAGTAAGTGATTCAATAATTCACGTAGTATTTGTTATACAAAGTTTTAATATTTATAACAAAGATTTAGAAATTCAGCGTGTGCGCAAATTGAATATTGGAAATGTTTACTGTGTCGCCTGCGCAAAGCAGTCGCTCGAGGAAATGGCATTCGGTGGTGTAAATGGCCAAGTTAGTCTATACAATTATAAAAACACTGAACTCTTGCATCGTTTTAAACCGGGTAAGTGCTACAATATGTATTGTATAAGATTCCAGCTTCCAATACGCCCATCTCTGACCTTTTTTGGCAGAAAATAATCGTAATAGTGTGCTGTATTTGGACTACAATGGAACAGATGAGTATATAGCTTCGGTATTCGAAAGTGGTCAAATCAACGTTTATGGCACTAAAACGAAAACAAAAGTAGATAGCGTAAATATTGATGGAAAGTGAGAAAAGAAACTTCTTTAATAGTGTTGCTTGTTGTAGCTTTATTAACTCTATTTTGGTTTTAGCTCCACTCTGGCACGTTTTCATCCAAGCAAGCGTTTCCAGCTATCAGTAGCATCTTTCAAGGGTGCCGTTACCGTCTACGATCTGCAAACCAAACGGAAGATATTCAATCTGAGCGATGCTCATGCCTCACCTTGTCGCGATCTATGCATGTCTGCTGCAACGCCTGATACACTAATAAGCGTGGGGTATGATTGTATTGTTAATGTCTTCGACACACGTCGTAGAACGCCGCAAATCAAACTAAATCATCCGCATCCATTGTCTACCGTTGCAATGAGTAGTTGTGGTACATACATTTGCGTGGGAAATTTGAAAGGCGAGTTGATTTCTTATGATATACGTAGTGTGAAAAAATGTTTAGCCACCAAAAAAGTGCACGATTGCTCTATTACACGTTTATCATTTGTGCCACTACCTGAGGAAGATAATAATACAACACCAAGTTTTACCAGCACCACCGCCAATAGTACAGATAATACATCCGAAATTCTTGAAGATCAGCAGAAGTCAATGGCGAACATGCGCCAACGCGATTCTTTTTGTGATTTTCTAGATTTTCAAGCAAACAAATTGGACCGGAAATCTGCACGTTTTACAATGGGGCGTGACAGCTTCGATTGGGATACACTTGGACGTAGGCCAAACTCGGAAGATAATCGCACAAATGTATCGAAACTAAACGGCAGCAATGAAAGTGTCAACAACTCGAGTAGTAACACCACTGATGGGAAATTGAATTTAAGTTTTGATTATGTAAACACACGGCGTGCTAAGGTAGTCGAAGAAGGAAAACGGCAATTTTCTAGTAAGGTTTTTTCAGAAATAAAAATATTTTTAGTACTAGCAAATCCTTATTTTACTTTATTGTAATTGCAGCGCTGCCGACGGCACCACTCCGTGATCGTAATAGCATATCGAAAGTTGTAACCAATTTAAAACAAATCGATGAGGAAGAATCAGCAAATTCCGCACACTCAACGCAACAAATAGAGTTTGATTGTGATAGCGATAAAGAAAATCCCAGTAATATAGATGTAGAATTCGATTCAGCTGCGCAACCGCATACACCAGTAAATGCATGCAATAGCACACCCAATCGCACGCCGGCAAGCACACAAAATTTTACAGAAAGCAAGAAATTGTCGGAAAATTTAAAGTCGCAAGTTGCAAATACACCTGTGCCACCACAAGCAGGGATTCTACAGCAAATCGCCGATTTGCGTATGGAAATGAACTCACGTTTTAAGCAATTAGAATCGGAGTTAAAATTTAACGCCGAGCAAAACAAATGGCAAATTTTTACGCAAACAGCTGATATATGGGCGCGCCAAATGAATACCACCGAAGATATACGTGATGCGCTGAGCTATCTTTTGCAAACCGATCCTTTTGTAAATGAGTTTTTACGCCTGAAAGACGAGAATGAGTTATTAAAGGCACAACTACAGCAATTAATGGCACAAAAATAGGTAAAACCTACTCATGTATGTATTTTATTAGATATCTATTGTAGCACTGTTTTGTTTTCCCATTGATATTTAAAAAAAGTTTTAGTGATTAATCTTTATTATTTGTAGTTGATTGTGAAATTGTACTGAATAGAAATGTATTAAATTAAAATGTATTTCATTTATTTAATGCATAATTGTGACAAAAGACTTTATGCTGCCAAACAAAAATTATACTTTTATGTACTAATAGGAATAAAAGGACTAAATAAGTGTGCTTTATTATGGCAGATATTATACATATTTGCCAGGGAATAAAAAAAAATATATGATAACTGTTTAAAATATGTACGCTGATTAGTTCTATTCCATTGAGCAAATGTGTACTGTATAGCCAGCTCTGCTGATTTGATTTGGTTCAAAATTTAAAAGTGCATAATTAACACTTTCCCTGCCATATTAAAAATGAAACAACCTACGTTTTGCATATATCTTTACATAAGCATATGGTCAAATTAACTAACTCAGACAATTGGTTAACGATCTCGCGATGAGGTAACAACCGTCACTGTCAAACACATGAGGACTTGGACTCATGTAGACTTATGTGAAGTATTTTGAATAAGGGAGAGAGGTTACAATAGAATATTAGGTAGTTAACAATCTACAAAAACAACAACCAACTGGTAAAAACTATCGTTACTAAGCAGGGGCAGGGAATGTGTTAACTTCAACAATAACACAAGGGAACAAACATTTTGTTGCGGCAAATGTTAAAGCTGTTTTTGATTGACTTTGCTGTGCCGATAACGAATCCATGAGTATAAAGTTCCCATCGGCTCCAGATTTTGAAAAAAAAAAAACGAGAAGCTCTAGCAACGAAACAAAAGGCGATATTAGGTGTAACTTAGAGGTGGAAGTCTCGACAACTATCCCTGAAAATACCACCCCTGCATCTTGACTTGATGGTCAATTATAGTCATTTATTGAACACCAATAAGTTTGAGTTCCCACGACAGTCGGGTCTACGTAACCGGAACGACCCAGATTTATATCTGGCCACGGACTGTCACTCCAGTAACACTCCTCAAAATCTCTTTGGGGAGTTTGTATGCTGTTACAACAACAACAGTGCCCACCGCAGGCTCAAGTTAAGGCTTGAACTTTCGACTACAATCTTTTGAAATACCATCCCTGAACCTTTACCCTAAGGTCAATTATAGTTATTTATTTAACAGTAAAAACTTATTTTGGCAAAAAATTTCGTTTTGTTTTCATTAGCACAGTATTCCAGTATTTTTATATTGTTCAATAAGTGACTATTAGTGACCATCAGGTCAAGGTGCGGGGATGGTATCCTCAGGTTAAAGCTTTAATTTAAGCCTAAGTGGAAGGTTCTATCACCTTTTGTTTTTTGGTAGACCTAAGATATTGCAAAAAACGCAATTTTTTTACTCTTTGACTTCGTTTTTCGCAAAATCTGGAGCTGATGGAAACTTTATACTTACAGATTCGTAATCAGCTCAAGAAAGTCTAACAGCTTTATCATTTGCCGCAACAAAATTAATGTTCCCTTGTGTAATTAATATTTTATTCATTCGACGCCGCGATCGTAGCTAGATTTCATGTCAACCTGCAAAGTTAAAAAAAGTGAACCCTTCAAACACTTGCTCCCTAATTTTTTTGCCTCATATTTACTACCCACCGATATGGTTGTATTGAAATTTCTATAGTCCACAATATAGTGCTCATTTCGCGTATCATAACTGATAATGTTGACGAAGCGCTGTCCCCAGAAGATGTCTTCACATGGCACATAAGAAGTGCGCGCCTCTGTTACCATTGCGGTGGCTGCTGAAGTGCCAACTATTGACACATATAATTCAAATTGTGCCTCATTCAAATCTTTTGCTGACCTCAAGTAGTGCAATGGACTTGTCTCATCAATGACATGGCATACAATTTCAGGCCAAACAATAATTTGCTCACCGCCACCATCCAATTTTAGCTCAGTACGCGTTTGCACGAACTCGCCTTCACGCGTGCTAAGTGGATAAAAATTATTTGAAAATACGAAATACGTGCATATTTAAAAATTTCATTTGCTTACGTTTTGTCTGTTATGAGATATACACGTATTTTCGATTCGATCGTTTGTTGTTTGCGTGGGTCACAGACGCGAAATAACAGGCAAAGCTTATCATCGCGGAAGCAAATCTAAAAATAGTAAATACTAATATTTTATTCTCGCCGTTTTTTTTTTTTGAAAATTCATATAAATGAAGTTATTCTTTTTGTACTAATGTGCGCCCAAATTCTGCTTAGCAAACAAAAGGAAATCAAAAAAAGTGTGGCCAAATTAAGTGCGGATATAGTACATACATTTTCACCGCCATATTGGCAGTTATACAAACTGGCGCTGAAAGCAAGTGTTTTTTTTTTATTTATCTAGTGATTTAAATTATTTAAGAAAGTAAACTTATTTACTGTACCTTAATTGATCATTCAGAAAGTATATAGTAGTCTACTTACCACCGCTTTGTCGCTAAACTTCAATTTCGTAATTTGCTTGGCTGGCCGAGCTGCTTTCGCATATACCATACTGACCAACATTCCTTCAATTCCAATTGCAATAATCATTTGCATCACAAATAGGAATATAGCCTCTGGACACTCATCGCTTGCGTATTTCTCGCCAAAACCGATTGTTGTTTGCGTTTCCACAGAATAGATGATCATCGAGACGAAATTATATACGCCTTTAATGCAGGGCTCCTTCCCCTCACCCAAACGCTCGCCAGTCACTTCGTCAAACATTAGATCGCCATGCGAATATGCAACCATATAGTTTAGCAAAGCAAAGAATAACCATGTGGCGAAGTAGGTACCAATAAAAATCGTCAGCATATATTTCCAATCTAATTCAATCTATGTGAGTTGTGGATATGGAAGTATAAAAAGTGATGCATAAAAAAATCAGTACTGCTCTTCGCAGATTTATGGCGGGTGTGCTACCATAATTTGTTAAAATAATTTTAATTTTTCACTAGCATATTTACAAAATTAGTTTAAGTTTTTAATGCAACGCCGATGCATGCTGCCAATCAGTAAAAGTGCACTTACCGCGTGTGCTATTGGATGGACAGTGGCAACGTTTTCAAACCTACACGCACGCACGTAAATGCAGTGAGTGGTCAAATGTTTTAAATTTAGTACTCTATACCAATATGCTGTGCCATTGAGGAGATTTTTTTAATAAATGTAAATTAGAAAAAAACAATGTATGCATGTATTAGAAGTTAATGGTGATTTATTTTAGAAGGTACAACTAATTCGATGTGCTTGTACGTGTACATTATTCAACATTCGATTTATTTAAAAAATATTGAGCATTTACATATGTATTTATTATAGAAACAAACATATGTATGTACATACATGTTTTTGGGCTATAACAAGTGTTTAGTATTTATATGTATACTCTTTAAATTAAAGCATTTAACTTCGACAAAACATATATATATGTATGTATGTACATATTTACATGAACTTAATTTTAAGGGATGAATATTTATGGATACACAAATCTTTAGCCAGATATAACTGAATACATAAATGCATTTAGTTATTGCTTTATGTACAAATATATATACTGAAACTTAAACTTTATATTAATGCGCTTTTTATGGCTTTATACTGGGCATACTATTATATTTAGTGTTCTTTTTGTGATTTGTGTCCGAATAGCTACTTGTTAATGCGTCATTGTCCACATATGATCCTATATCACATTGTTCAAGACTTACATTAGTTGATGCGGGTGTTATTGTGTTGTTCATATTTGACGATGTTGATGTAAGACATTTTTTGTGGAATAAACTTGTTAACGCGCTTACCATTGTGGTTACCAAATCTCGAACATAGCGCCACGACTTTTGGGGTATGCGTCGGATGTTGACATTTTCATTGCCACTCTTTTCGATGACACGATGATGACGACGTCGTGCACTCATATGATCAACATCTACATAAATATGATTCGATTTAGTTAAACGTACGTATGTACATAGATACGTGAAAAAAAATAGAGAATACTTACCACTATAGCGTGAATCTAGATTCAATTCCATTGTACTGCCAACCCAATCACTGGTACAGGGTACGCTAGTGTAAAATTGTAGAGAAGAAATATAAGGTTTAATTTAAATGAGAATATCGTTTAACGGTATTTATACATAGTTTTGAAAATTATTTAAAAACAAGTCAAGAATTAAATAAAACTTGGCGAACAATAGGCTTTTGAAAGCACCCGATATCGCATAGTGGGCCAGGAGCTCGTCATAAGTGAGGAAAATATAAAGCCAAGAGCCCAATTACATATTTAGGAAATTCAACTTAAAACTTAAATTTTAAGTTTTATATAAGTTTAAGTTAAAATCACTTTAATTTGAAAAATTTGCATTCACGCATTTTCTTCCATACAAAGTATGTTCGCATTTTCTAATTTTTTTCAATCTGATTAGGAAGTTGAAAATTTGTGTACAAATTCCTTGAATTTTGCACAAAGTTTTGAAATATAATTTTTTTGTTGTAGTATGAACCATATTTTTATAAAAAAATTATCGAAAAAAATAAAAAATTTTGCACATTTTGTGAAAAATTCGTTGTGTCAATACCTTTTTCGGGCAGTATATTTGCAAATATAAGACATAATAACAAAAGAGAAGAGCTTCTTTCTTGTTGTGACACATAGCCACTGCCACTGCTTCTTGCGTTTTTAAATATATATATATTTTTTTTCATTTTCTGAAAGTGCCATCCTGCCACGAGAATTGTACCATTTTAACCAAAATCTGATGAACTGATTTATTAAACGTAAATGTTTAACTATGCATATAATTTATCTCTAACTTGACGGCATCATACAAATATTTACATACGTTGCACTTGATTATCTGTAAAAGTATGCATTAGTACTTTTTATCTAAATGAAACGCTAAGATTTATGATACATATTAAATGAATCATTGCCGTGGTAAAAATTTTAAAATGATTTGTCTGTTATCTTTCTTGTTGCTGTAAAATTTAATATACGTATAAAGTCTCCCAACAGATTTCCCAACGTCTGTTTCTTTACCCGTAATATCTTCCGTACTAAATCTAACTATTTCTGACAAAATCCTGTAAATGTGGCGAGTAAAGTAAAAAAACTAACTTTAATAGGCACTCACTTATTCGCACTTCTACTTATGCTGCTAGCCAATTCACATTTTTTTCGCCGTTCCACAATTGGACTTTCTGGATAATAGTCTCGGGAATCGTTAATTTTCTCCTTTTCCTCCGAGCGTTTAAGTGATTTCGGTTCAATTGGTCGTGGTTTAACTGGCATCGATATAGATCGTCGCATTTTTGTATTATCTGCTTGATCCATTGTATATATGTATGTATGTATGTATATTTTCTCAAGCTTTATATAACAAGTTGATTACTTGACCAACCACCCACTCCAGCTGTGATAATACTTCAAATTAAATTGAAAGCAATTAGTAACGAGTGTTTAAATTAAATCAGATCAGCTACTATATTATACACATCGAGCACTAGAATGGAATGGATGCCAACTGCTCCACGATGTTGACCATTGAAATGGCAAAAGCAAACTAATGCGTCAAAAGATTACTACTAAATTCATCTTTATGAGATGCTCTTTATACAAATGATAACCATAATCACAGTACGAGTATACATATTGGACGACTCTGTTGTAGTATGTTTTATCTTGGGTTAAAGCAAAGAATTGGGGGAAGAAACTTAGGGACTTGCTGTTGACACAGCGTCTGAAATGATAGATATGTGACATGACAAAATTACTGTTTATTACTGCTTTGATACAAGCATTAGTTCAGTGAGATTATACAGTAGCAGAAGTAAGATACTTAGAATAAGATGTAAATATATAAAAAAAAATTCGATTGCTTTAACGCTTTCATCATAAAAACTTTCTTATGAAATTTGAGAATAGAAACTATTAGCTGAGCTTTTCTGCACTGAGAGTATAAATTGCACTAGCGTCAAATATATTATTTTTGGGCTGTGGAGGAACAGAAACCACTTCCCAAAAAGGAGACGGTTATCAATTCGTGGGAATATTTTTTTTTTTTTTTTTTATGTACATATAAATGTTACCGCATAACTTTGGACCACATTAAACGATTTATATAATTATTTTTTTTAAGGAAAGGTGTTACCTCACAGCTAGTCCCATACTAATTTGGTTTAGATCCGATCATTGGATCTTGAAGAAATTACCGATAATCTTAAATTTATATATGGAAATTGAAGTCGGATTTGTTTTTTGCTCAAAAATTACTTGTAAAATTACATTTTGTGACATTCAAATTTTCGATTTATATTTACAACCTACTTTAGCAGTTAAAGTCTTCTTTTTTTACGAATTAGGGTTTTAGTCTTAATTTGTATTTTTGTCTTTATTGTTATTTATTATTATTATTTACTTATCTTAATTTTTATTATTAATTTTACCTTTATCTATGTCTTAATCTTTGCATTTAGCTTAATATTTTTAATTCTATTATTATTTTTGTCTCTGCCTTGATCTTTATTTCTACAACTATCCTTATCTTCACCCTTTTCTTTTTAGGTTTTGCTTTATTTGTATTTTTATCCCCATTTTTATCTTAAAATTTATGTTTATCTACGCCTTTTTTGTGTTTTTAATCTTATCTTTATCTTTATCTTTATCTCTATCTTTATCTTTATCTCTATCTCTATATCTATCTTTATCTTTATCTCTATATCTATCCTTATCTTTATCTTTATCTTTATCTTTATCTTTATCTTTATCTTTATCTTTATCTTTATCTTTATCTTTATCTTTATCTTTATCTTTATTTTTATCTTTATTTTTAATACATATGTACATATATTATGGAGCATACATACATAAATAAAGTAACAATAAACCTCACGGTTAGACTTACCAAATGTGCGGGTCTAGGAGCCTGCGGGCATGGGGCAAAATAAGCGCTGCGGGTTTGCCATTAACTTCTTTGAGATTCTGCGATTTACTGTAAATTTGAGTTGTATTATCGAATCGCAACTTCATTTCAAAGATAAATATGTGATTTATAAGTTTATGTTTTAAATTCAAATGTAAACAAACTGTTTAAGGGCCGTTTTCTCAAGTAACCTGTAACTTTAAAGCTCACTTTGTATTTAAAGGTTGCATTAAAATTTATTTATTTTTTTATTTTATTTTTTGTCGGCCGCTGTGGTGTAGTGGTAAGCAGTGCGCGCTTTCAGCGCCTGCGCTCAAGCCCTGGTCAAAGCAACATCGCAAAAAATATAGAAAAAGGTTTTTTTCTTAACAGCGGTCGTCCCTCGGCGGACAATGGCAAACCTCCGAGTGTATTTCTGCCATGAAAAACAGCTCAAAAAAATATAATCGCCGTTCGGAGTCGGCGTAAAACTGTAGGTCCTTCCGCTCCGCTTTTTGTGACAACATCAAGGCGCACGCCACAAGTCGGAGGATAAGCTCGGCCAAACACTAACATATGTGTAAGCGTCAATATATTATTATTAGTATTATTAAAATTTATTTATGTGTTTAAAGTAAAGCATTTTATTATCGGTTTTAAATTGGTTTACAACCAAGAAACATACATATGTACGTCAAAACACTATTACAGAAATGCTTAACTTTAGTCATATCTTTATTTTTAATCCTACCTTTAAATATAAAGTGAACGTTAAAGTTAAATGTTACTTCAGAAAACGGCCCTAAGAGGATGATTTGATGAAACTTAATTAGTGAAATGAAAATATGGATGAAAAATATGAATCTATTATATATTTTTTTTTTTTTTTATGACGCTGGGAACTATTGCCAATTAGAAAGAAAATTGCGCGCCAAAACTTAACCGTCAGAAAATTTCAAAATGACTTATATTGCAAGCTTTTACTAGTTTTGCGTTCAATAACTTTTTCTGAAAATTTTCTCTTGCTCTCAATTTTACTCTCCCGCATTTTCCGGCAAAAGCGTGTTGTGTAACTTCAGTTTTTTTAACCGCGGTTATAATGAAATGGTTGAAATATTTCAGATTTGCGGTTTTACGATAAAAAAAAAAATTTTATGACGTTTACGTTCTTTGGTACATACAAAGAACGTAAAACATACAGTTTTTTACACCTTCCATCACTGTCACTTCGAATTCATTTCATCTGGCAATGCTAACAAATATTGGCAATCAAATACAACTCTGTATGTAAAATTGGCATCCCTTTTTATATTTCAGTTCCAGTTTTTCAGCCCAGCAAGTATGGCGTTTAGTTAAATTCGTACAGTGAAAAGTTGTGACATATTATTGTGAAAGCAAGAAATTGGATTCAAATGAATTTTGCTACTTGTGCTTTACCCGATAATACGAATAAAGGTGCTCGTTTAAACAATAAAGAAGTCAGAAAAATGTACCAATTTGTTTTGTGTAAACATAAAATAAGCTAAATTAATATATACAGATATACAGTTTTTGGAAGAAGGGGTCGAAGTGCGGTTCATGCAGGTAAATACCGAGAAATCGTAAAAACTCATTTAGAAGAGCGAAGTCGCAAAGCTATATAGTGATTTCTAGGAATTTGATGCATATCGTGATTTCAATTGTATTATTAAGCACAGAGATCCGCGAAAGTTAATGCATATCCTTAAACAAAAATGTGTATACCAAATATTGAATATCAGTTAAATGCGGTAAATTCCAGGAAATTTAACCAAAAGGCAGAAAAACGGCCAAAAAGAGGCACAAATTATTAAAGCATTGAGATACCAATTTCCGAGAAGCGCATTTCTAATTTAGACCAAATTCTCAGAAGTGACAGACAAGCCAACAACGGCAGAAACAGCCAGAGGCAACTACAAATTATATACATGGTTGTGTTGGGAAGGCATGGCATCATGGCAAAAGCGAACGCAGCACAAACAACAATACATACAGTATTAGTACGAAAAGTAAAAACAAAAGTGTGAATGATAGGAGCAAAAAATATGCGGGGTGCCGTGTTGCGATCGCAAAGAGCAGAGCGCCACATTGCATACAAAAACATAAAGACATATATATATATATATGCGTGTGTGTGCATGAGAAATCGTATAGAAACCCGCACGAAAGAGCGAGACAAAGCGAGGCAGCTGAAAAGAGTGAATTGTTTCACTGTTGCCAACTCTTGGAAAAGGTGTGCGAGTGTGGTGGCTTTGTGTGTTGTATTGTGTGAGTAGCAGCGTGTGGCAGAGCAACAAAAAAAAAAATACATGTTTTATTTCAATTCGTGGGAAATTTTTAATTGTTCACGTGAATTTATTATAATGGAGACCAAATGAAATTGTGAATGTCAACGTGAAAAGTAAAGACACAAAAGTATTTATCAAGAATTTTGAATTTGTCCTGACTTAGCTAAGCGAAAAAGCGAATAGCAATGGGCTTTCATTCATAATGCGTGTACATATATATGTATGTACATATATGTATGTACATATGGAATGTACATGCATAAATATATATATGTACATAAAACCCACATATGTATTTGGATGACTAGTTTAGAAAATGATGATAAAGGGTTAATGATTTTATGAAGCCTATTCCAGGTACCTCAGGATTTTAAGGAAGTGCGTCACGGTACATAGGATTTATTACTGGCGATAACAGCTTTTCCTTGAAAACTGCAAATCCGGTAGTACCTGGAACAAGCTTAATGCATATGTTGTGACTTCATAAAATCATTAATGATGACAAAGGGCAACATTTTCTAAACTAGTCAAAAAAAAATATAAAAAAACGAAATTTTACCCGATTATTAGGTTTGTCCAAAATAACAGTAACTTTGAAGATAAAAATTTAAAACACATCTGATTGAAATAACGGGCTCAATAAAAAAAACTTGAAAATTTAATTCAGTTGAAATTAAAAAATATGTAAAAATGCACGTATGTGCATATGTATGTATTCTCTTTTTTTTCCCGGCAATCAACATTGAAAATTCCTGCTAAAAATTTTGATAATTTAACGGCATTATATTCATATACATACATATGTATGTGCGTACACCCCGCGACAAAAGATAGCCCATCAATATTTTTGACTATGTACTTTTCTTTTTGCTTTTGCTGGGCCGCCAAAGCAATTTATGACACATCAGCGCAAAAAATGTAAACCATATTATTAGGAGTTTGGAATGAGCATGACGATTTTTTATGAAGTTGATTGATTACTCATTATAATATTTGTAGTTTTTTACCATTCTATCGTGGAATCCATATGTACGTACATACATACATATGTACTAGGGATGTTGCGAAAGGGGAATGTTAGACATCCGCGGATGCGAATGCGGATGTCAAATATTTTTAAGAAACAATTCGAATCTAGCATAATGGCTAGATCGTTGTTTAAACAGCGCTTACAAGCTAAACCAGATACATGTGTCAGGTTTTTCTAAAGCTTTTTAAAAAGAACTCTTCATTCTCATTCCTTTGGCTATTTCAGAATTTGGGGAATCTGTAACTTTATCAGCGTTTTTCGATTTTAGTTTTGGTAATTAATTTTTAGTACTTTCTTCTGCGGCTGGTTTGAAAAATTTGTGCTTACAGCGAGCTATGTAAATAGGTGGATATCAGGTGAATCGGATCAGAATATTTGTATTTTTTTAAAAAAGCACCTCGTTTTTCATAAGCATTTGAATCTCTGATAAGTTACGTAATTAAAGGTCAGACCTATAGCTTTTTAATTATTTCAGCATCGATTCTCTTTATAGCCAGAGGTTGATCATCTCTGCTGGAAATCCCTATGGAAGGAGCTTACTCTTTGACTTTAAATAGAAAAGAAGGGACAGTTTTACCACAGAAGTTTTTGAAAATTTTGATGAAAATTTTCTGAATTTTCGTGAGTTTTGCACAAAGTTTAGGAATTATATTTTTATGTTTTTTGTTGTTGAATGAACCATATTTTTATACAAAATTGGCGGAAAAATATTAGAATAACAATTGTTGCATATATTGTGAAAAATTTGCTGTGCCAATACGTTGTTCCGACAGTGTACATTTCATCGGTGCACTTGCACAACATTCGCATTCGCAAAAGCACCGCATTGATTATTGCGAATGCGAAAGCGAATGCGAATGTTAAAATTAATGCGGAAGCTCCGCGGTTGCGAATGCGAATGCGAATATTCGCAACAACCCTGATATGTACACCCCGCGACAGAAGACAGCACATCAAGATTTTTACTAGTTTAGACTACTTTTCTTTAGCTTTTTTAAGGCTCATTATTTTTATATAAAATTATAGCTCTTTATCCAACAAATACCATATAAATCTAAATTTCAGACTTTGTACAGAAATTATAAAAATTGATTTTTGATATTTTTTGTTTCGCTTGTTTCGCATTTTCTTCCATACAAATTTCTTATATGGGAAAAGGGTGCACAATACCGTCAGAAAAAAATTATCAAAAATTAACGCGATTTTTTAGAAACTTCAAACTTGCACTTTAGAATTCAATAAGCAATAAAACTGCATACGAAAAAATTTTCTAGAAATTAAAATTAAAATGCTTGAAATTGGGATGAAAAGTTTGTGAAATTTTTAGAATTTTTGTACAAAGCCTGAAATTTAGATTTATATGGTATTTCGTGGACAAAGAGCTATACTTTTATATAAAAATAATGACCTTAAAAAAGCTAAAGAAAAGTAGTCAAAACTAGTAAAAATCTTGATATGCTATCTTCTGTCGCGGGGTGTACATACCCAGCAAAAAACACGATTACCACAGAAACGAAAGTGGAAACGAGTTAGGCGATGGGAATCGCTTACCCTCTCGCTTCAAGAAGGCCTTATTTTAACATGGGCATGTCATTGGAGGTAAGCCCTTACCCGCAGCATTACCTTCAAACGAAGGGAGAACGCATGGATAAACAGAATCCAGAGAAGCGAACAAAGAATGCCTTACAGAGAAACTAATGTAGAATGCCTAGATAAGTACATACTTATTTATATTAAATTGAAATCAGAAAATGTCTTAAAAGGTTAAAATTAATTAAAATTTTTATAAATCAGCGTACATATGTATGTATTTAGGTATTTAGATTTTCTTTAAAATCGGTATGTACATACATGCATATTTAATTAAGCTTAAAATTGTACTTCCTCACTCTTGTACGTCACTTCATTGACTGACTTCAACTTCGCTGCAAATTGAACAAAGCAAAACATGATTTTTATGCGAGACAAATTTCCACAGAAAGTAACGGTAGAAAAAGAATTTTTGGATATTCATTCCATTTTTCAGCTGACTACGATGCAGCATTCTACTTTGCATTCCCCGAAATGAAGCAAAGAAGCGAAACAAATAAAATATTGTAGGACATTCTACTTTGCATTCCCCGAAATGAAGCAAAGAAGCGAAACTAATAAAATATTGTAGGACATTCTACTTTGCATTACCTGAAATGACGCAAAGAAGCGAAACAAATAAAATATTGTAGGACATTCTACTTTACATTCCCGGAAATTAAGCAAAGAAACGAATTAAAAAATAAATATTATAGGACATTCTACTTTGCATTCCCCGAAATGAAACGAAGAAGCGAGATAAATAAAATATTGTAGCACATTCTACTTTGCATTACTGGCAATGCCTAAAAGAAGCGAAAAAATTCGAAGGCATTATAACGCTATGCCTTCTAGAACACGTTACCACTAAAAGCGATTACCGATTTTTTGCTGGGTATGTATGTACGTACATATGGATTTAACTACAGAATGGTAAAAAAAACTACAAATATTATAATGGGTAATCAATCAACTTGATAAAAAATATTCATGCTCATTCCAAACTCCTACTGATATGGTTTTATATGTTTTGCGCTGATGGTCATTCAAAATTAGAAAATTTAAAAGACTTCTGGTAGCCCTTCTTCGAATCTTTTAAAGCGAAGGCCTCCGTGCTTGTTAGTAGCTTTCAGAACTACAGCCGGCCTCTAGTCCCTAGTCTTCCAGTTGTTGCCGTTTTTAGCGGCACTACTAAGATCCGCCTAAATTGGCTACTCCATCAATTGTCATCAAGCTCCACTAACAGCAGATTTGGACAGAAGGAAGAGGGATGTTAGTTGTGCGGGGTTAAGTGGGTGGCTGAGGAGGTCTGTTTGGTATTTCAAGATCAAATCTGGATAAATACGAGTTCAGGCGACTGCAATATCCAGACCTTAAGTCGCCTCTTTTGCGTCGTATTGGGTGCTTGAAGGTTTGACAAACCGCTTGAGTGGAATTTTTACAAAATCGCCTTATTCGCAACTAAATTTTCAACGAGGGCATAAGAGAAAAAATTAAAGAAAAGCAAACTTTACGTTCAGAACCAACATACATAAGGTCTTTGTTAAAATAATGGAGATTCGGCAGGGAAGTGGTAAGGACCGCCAGGTGAAGGGCAATACCTTACCAGCAACTTACACTTCACCCGGCTCTCCTTACCACGTCACTGACGAATCTCCCTTACTTTAACAAAGACGTGG